GTTGTGGGGCTTGAACTCTGGGCCTGGGCGCTGTCCCCCAGCTCTTCAGATCAAGGCAAGCACTCTACCACTTGAGCCACAGTGCCACTTCTGGTTTATTGAGTGGTTTACTGAAGAGTCCTATAGCCTTTCCTGCCAAGGCTGGCTTTGGACCGTGATCCTCAGATCTCAGCCTCCTGAGTAGCTAGGATGACAGGCGTGAGCCACTGTCACCCAGCTATGGTGAAATCTTTACAGAGCTCATGACCCATTACAGTCAGGCACGTGGATCAGCCCATGGTCCCAGCACTGGGAAGGCTGAGGAGGGACAGTGATCCAGGCCACATAGGACAAATGCACGAGACTCTGTTTAAAAAACCAAAATGGGGCTGTGAAGGCGGCTCAGTGCTAGAGTGCTTGCCTAGCAGGCATGAAGCCCTGGGTTCCATTCCTCAGCACCACATAGACAGAAAAGGCCAGAAGTGGTGCTGTGGCTCAAGTGGTAAAGTGCTAGCCTCTAGCAAAAGCAGCTCAGGAATAGTGCCCAGGCCTTGACTTTTAGCCCCAGGACTGTCAAAAAAAAAAAAAAAGACGGGAGATATGACTCATAGGGCAGAGCACCTGTCTAGAAAGTGCTAGGCCTGGAGTTTTTTCCCTAGTACAGACATACACATGTATGCACACATGCATGCGCGCGCACACTCAGCCCTCTAGCCCCGCCCCCAGCTCCGCCCCCCAGCCCTGCCACACCTCTTCTTAAGGGGAGCAGTTTGTTCTCCAGGACATCCCTGGCATCGGTTCCCTCGTCCATGAGGTCCAGCTTGGTGATGACTCCAATGGTCCGCAAGCCTGAAAGGAGAGCAGAGGTCAGAGGGCACTTTGAGGTCAGAGAGCATCATGAGGAAGGAATCTAGGCTGGTGACTTTAAGTCATCTGGGGTCCAATTGCTCCTGTCACTGCCCCATGCTCTGGGGACATGGCATGGCCAGCTGGATGATTTTGTTTGTTTTTAAGTACCAGGCTTGCTAGGCAGGTTCTTTACCTCTGAACCACACCCCCAGCTCTTGCCTTTTTTTTGTCGGTTGTGGGGCTTGAACTCTGGGCCTGGGCGCTGTCCCTCAGCTCTTCAGCTCAAGGCGAGCGCTCTACCACTTGAGCCACAGCGCCACTACCAGTTTTCTGGTGGTTTATTGGAGATAAGAGTCTCACGGACTTTTCCTGCCCAGGCTGACTTTGAAATATGACCCTCAGATCTCAGCCTCCTGAGCATGAGCAATCAGCACCCGGCGCCTCTTTTTCTTTTTTTTGGTCGGTCATGGGCTTGAACTCTAGGCTTGGGTGCTGCCCCTGAGCTTTTCAGCTCAAGGCTAGTGCTCTACCACTTGAGCCACAACACCACTTCCAGCCTTTTCTGTGTATGTGGTGCTGAGGAATCGAACCCAGGGCCTCATGCGTGCGAGTCAAGCACTCTACCATGGAGCCACCTTCCCAGCCCTCTTGCCTCTTTTTTAAACTTTTCTCCTTTCGCTGGACCCTGAGTCATCCCGGGAGCCCCACGACACCCATCCCTGCTTCTAATCCAAGGGCTCTATGTTCTCCCTGGCAGGTCGATTTTGTACGCTGCTGGATGTCCAGGGACCAAAACTGGGTCTGGCTCCTACTTAATTAACATTCATGGATCAATGGCTATTTGAAGAGTCTGACACCACACAGGCTTGGCCGGAGGCGCCACAAGTCCCCACTGCCCCCGAATATCAGTGCCCCCGCTTGCTCTCATTAACTCACCCTTTACCCACCTAGCTTCTACAGTAAACGGAGATTCATTATGTTTTGACAGAGAGAGACCAACCTGGAAGGAAGGTTCAAGTAGCTCCTATAAATGGGGTCTGGACTCCCAGAGAGGCTCTGGGGGGCGGGGGAGGGCTGGTGCTATAGTTGGTATCTTAAATGCCTCTCAAATGCTCATCCATTAATCATCAGAATGGCGCTAGAAGGTATGATGGCCCTTTAAGAGGTGGGGCCTACTGGGAAGTCTTTAGGTCATTGGGGAGGGGGCGAGGTAAGATAAGGGGGTGATATATGCTTTGGCTCTGCCCAAAAGCAATGAAGTCAACCAATCAAAGAACAGAAGCTCAAATTGGTGAGCCAAGAGGATCCTTTCTCATTTCTAAGCTGGTTGTCTGTGTGATTTGTATAGCAGCAGAAGGCTAACTAACATGGCTGGGATGTTCCACTTCCCTGGCCTCTCCTGTGAGCCGGCACTGTGAGTGCAGTGGTATTTGAGAACAACCGGGGGGGTGGGGGGGGGAAGGGGAGGGAGAATGTGGCTCAGTGGCAGAGTGCTTGTCTAGCATGCATAAAGCCCTGGGTTCAATTCCTCAGTGCCACATACACAGGAAGAACCAGGGGACACCCACAGGCACTGTCCTCTTCCTGAAACAACCATGTGCCAACGAGGACACTGGGGAGTTAGAATCACGGGTGCAGGAGCTGGAAGGGGAGTGGCGGTGTGGGGGCTGGGCATCACCTTGGGGGTCCACCTCCTTGGCCAGCTTCAGGGCATCGGAGTTGGCCAGGTCCATGTTGGCAGGCGTGACAGCGAGGATCAGGCTGCTCTCCCGGCTGATGAACTGCAGGATCATTTCCTTGATCTGGTACTCAATGTCGGGGGGCTGGTCCCCAACTGGCACCTTGGTGATGCCCGGGAGGTCAATGAGGGTCAGGTTCAACACTGGGTGGGAAAATCAGAGGGGAAGGGGTCAGAGTTCAGGATGTCACTGAACGTGCCCACTGGCATGCCGTCTTTTATTTTTATTTTTTGTGCCAGTCCAGGGCTTGAACTCAGGGCCTAGGTGCTGTCCCTGAGCTGCTTTGCTTGTGGCTAGCATGCTACTACTTGGGCCACAGTACCACTTCTGGCTTTTTCTGAGTAGTTTATTGGAGATCTGGGCACTGGTGGCTCATGCCTGTAATCCAGGCTACTCCAGGGGGTGAGACCTGATTTCAGCTCAAAGACTTTCCCAGACAGGATAGTCCATGAAACTTAACTCTAATTAACCACCAGAAAAACAGAAGTGAATCTGTGGCTCAAAGTGGTAGAGCACTAGCCTTAAATGAAAGAGTTCAGGGGTAGCATCCAAGCCCTGAGTTCAAGCCCCACTACTGACAGAAAAACAAGTCCTACTAAGTTTCCCGTCCATGCTGGCTTTGAACCGTGATCCTCAGATCTCAGCCTCCTGAGTAGCTAGGATGACAGGCGGGAGCCACCGGCGCCTGGCTTGGCATGCCTTCTTTTTAAAAAAAGTTCTGGTTTCTCTTGGCATTGCAGGAGCTTGTACTCACTAGGCAGGCACTCTACCACTTACGCCTTGCCCCTAGCCCGTCTTTTGCTTTAACTCTCAGATAGAGTCTCATAGTATGTGTCCGCAGCCAGGCTTGATCTCAATCCTCCCATTGAAGCTGGGATTGCAGGCCCATCCCATTATGCCCAGCTTACTGACTGAGATGGGGTCTTGCAGATTGTCCACCACTCCCCATGGCCTGAGTGACCTGTGTTTTCTTTAGAGCCGAGCACATGGGAAGAAAAGCCCGTGGCTATCTACGTTTTGTGAGTAGACAGATCCTAGAGAGTTTAGCACAGCGCGCCGCCTTCCCCCTCTCCCACAGCCCGTGGCTCCCCCTCTGTGCTGCCTACCGTGTGGTGAGTAGACCCGCAGGTTGATGGGCACTGGGGAGATGCCTTTGTTGGTCCCCGTGACCCTGTCTGTCTCTGCTTCGATTTCCTGCCGAACTTCATCGAAGTCTGTAAACTTTTTGGACTTGCAGTGCAAAAACTCGGCATATTCTGAGAAGAGAGGAGAGAGGATCAGGTGAACAGTGACACCCTCAGAAGGGGTAGGGCTGGCCAGGCGCCGGTGGCGCGCGCCTATAAATCCTAGCTACTCAGGAGGCTGAGATCTGAGGATCACGGTTCAAAGCCAGCCCGGGCAGGAAAGTCCATGAGACTCGTATCTCCAATAAACCACTAGAAAACCGGAAGTGGCGCTGTGGCTCAAGTGGTAGAGCACTCGCCTTGAGCTGAAGAGCACAGGGACAGTGCCCAGGCCTAGAGTTCAAGCCCCACGACTGACCAAAAGAAAGAAATAAAAGAAATAGCGGGGCTCCAGAGACAAAGGAAAAAGGCTGGGCAAGGTGGCACACGCCTACAATCCCAGCTACTTGGGATGCAAAAGTCAGGACTGAGGGTTGAGGTTTGCCGAGACAAAGAGTTCCTGAGAGCCCATTCCAACTGAGGAGCAAGCTGTGGCGGGTCACACCTGGAGTCCCGGTCCACAGGAAGCCACAGGCAGGAGGAGCAAAGTCTGAGAAGGCCAGATCGGACAAAGCACGAGACCCCACGGGGAAATTCAGTCAAGTGAAAACAGCCACAGAAGGGGGAGGGGCCCAAGTGGCAGGGTGTGCCCAGAGTCCTGGCGAGGGGCCTGCGTGCTCAGCCTGCGTGGGCAAAGCCGCCGTCCTGTGGAGTCAACTCCACTCTGTCACTTGCTGTGTTGAGATGGAGTCCCACTACACAGCCCAGGCCGGTGGACAGTTCACCACCCCCCTGCCTTAGCCTCTCAGGTGTAGGGATTACAGGCAGGCGTCACTGCACCGACTTCAGATCCGCAGCTGTCCTGCAGGTGCCGCACCCAGGCCCAGGCCCCCGTTCAGCTCTTTGATGTTGACAGTCTGACATCGCATCCTTTTCCATGCCGTGGGTCACGGTCAAAGGAGACAGAAGTCACTGTCCCTGTGGGGGGACCACCACGGGGCAACCCAGGGGCGGGCACATCGTGGGTCCCTCGTCTTCAAGGCCATCTGTCTAGAAAGACATGTGCTCTTGTTCTGACTCATGTAACTGGAACCCTTCTGCACATCACCTTTATAACAGCAATCAAAAACAACCACAAAGATGCGCTGGAAGCCGGGCGCCGCTGGCTCCCGCCTGTAATCCTGGCTACCCAGGAGCTTGAGGTCTGAGGATCCACATCGGAAGGCAGCCAGCCAAGGCAGGAACAGAAAAATCCCCCTCAGAATGCTACCTCCAACTAACCACTCAACAACCGGAAGTGGGTGGCGGGGCTGTGCTTCAAAGTCCGGGAGCTCTAGCCTTGAGCAAAAGAGCTCGGGGACGAAGCCCAGGCTCAGACCAAGCCCAGGACTGACACAGACAGACAAGTAAAGATGCCACCAAGGCACAGAACGGGCACCCTGCTGGCTTTGCGAAAGCCCGTGTGTAGGCCCCTCTATCTTCCTTCTCCCTACTCACAGGAACCCCCAATTGGGACAGCAGCCCCTCAAGGGCCTCTGGGCAGGCCCTGAGCAGATGTGCTGCCATGGGCGGGGGGGTGGCCTGGCAGCCACCGTGAGACCCAAAACGCAGAGCTGGGACGCGAGACCCAAGACACCCTCCTGGAGCATGCGCCTTCCTCAGCTTCGGGGACTAGTTCACTGCGGCCAGGTGTTGGGGGGGGGTTGAAAGGGTCCCCAAGACCCAGAGACCACAGCCCCTGTAATGACGCTTAGAAAAAAGGCGCGGGGAGCGAATGCATGTCAGAGAACAGGTCAACAGTCTACGTGGCCACCCGAGGAGACCCGTCCACAGGGACAGCCAGCCCCGAAGCCGCCCGGACGCCGGGGCCGGGGGACCCGGAAGGAGGCAGAAAGCAGCCAGAAAAGGAGCCGGTGCGCAGCCCTTCCCCTCACAGGCGAGTCTCTCAAATGCCCCTCTCCAAGATGAAGAAACTGAGGCCCGGAGAGGTGAAGGGACTGGACTCGACTCCCCTCCCCCAGCCCTGCCCTCCACTCTCAGCTGACGCGGTTCCCCGTGACAGCCAGAGATGGAGGAAGCTCACTCACTGCTGCTCACAGCCCCTCCCTCCCCCACCCCAGCTCCACCCCTCCCTCGGGATGCAGGGTGCCCACCTGCCCAGGCCACGCTCTCTTTAGGGAACGTGGATTCTAGTGCAGGGAGGGGGGAGGGCCCGCCTAGCTGCCGCCTCTGCCAGGCAGCCTTCCCTGACTGCACCTTGGCCTCCTTCCTTACACATCACCACCCTACATCATGTTCGTGGGACTCGAACCCAAAGGCTGCAACCCGAGAGCCCAGCGGTCATGGGAGATTATGAGTTCAGTCTGCATTTGGGAGCCGGGGGAGAGTAGCTCGGCCTCAGCTTTCTGATCTGTGATCTGTGAAGTGAACTGGCAGAAAAAGAAAAAAAGAAAAGAAAAGAAAGAAAAATGCAAGTAAAAAGACTTAGTGTCGGGCTGGGAAGGTGGCTCAGTGGTAGAGCGCTTGCCTCGCATGCATGAGGCCCTGGGTTCGATTCCTCAGCACCACATAAGCAGAAAAAACCAGAAGTGGCGCTGTGGTTCAAGTGGTAGAGTGCTAACCTTGAGCTGAGGAGCTGAGGGACAGAGCCCAGGCCCAGAGTTCAGGCGCCAAGACCGACAAAAAAAAAGTCCTCCCTGCTGAGCTGCACCCCATGCTCCGTCCCCAGCATCCTGGAATCATTCAACAGCCCCCCCCCCCCCCCCCCCCCCCCCCACTGGTGACAAAGAGAATCTTCCCTGCGCCACCTGCACTGCGAACCAAAATGAAACCTGCAGGGGGCGCTGGCCCAGGGCCTGGCACACACCGGAAGGGAAGGAGGAAGGGACATCCGGGCCCTGGGCCAGCAGCCACACTGCCAATGCCAGCCAGCCATCTCCCTCGTCTACCAGGGGACTCCTGGGGTTGGGGGGGTGTACTTAGTTCCTAGAGAGAGGCCTGGGGGCTCTGCAGCCTGCGTGTCCCCCTGTGCTTGAGCCAGGAGATGGGGCGTGGTTTGAATGCTCGCGCTTCTCAGCTCTAGCTTGAGGACACGGCTCTCAGGATCCCCCACCTTGGCTTTGTGTGATGGTTCTGGGGCTTGAACTCAGGGTCTGGGGACCGTCCCTGAGCATTTGTGTTCAAGACTAGCATGTTCTACCACTTGAGCCACAGCTTTTTCGTGGTTCCTTGGAGAAAAGAGTCTTGTGGGCCGGGCACCAGTGGCTCATGCCTGTCATCCTAGGCTACTGGGGAGGCTGAGATCTGAGGATTGTGGTTCAAAGCCACCTCCAAGGAACCACCAGAAAACCTGAAGTGGCGCTGTGGTTCAAGTGGTAGAGTACTTGCCTTGAGCTGAAGAGCGTGCAACTTTCCTGCCCTGGGCTGGCTTTTGAACTGGGATCCGCAGATCTCAGCCTCCTGAGTAGCTAGGATTACAGGCGTGAGCCACCAGCGCCCGGCCCAGGCAGCCCTTTCAACAGAGGCCCCAGACCCACAGTGCCCCCCTCAGCGCACAGGCGCAACAGCAGGTCACGTGCCGCAGCACTTCTGCGGGATAAGCCACTGTCTGCAGCAGCCCAGGCCTTCGGCCGCCAGGCAGGGTGAGTCAGGCACCCCAGCAAGATTTGGGGAAGAGTTGGGTGATAGGAAGATACATGCGGGGGGGTGGAGAGTAGGGGGCAGTGGTATGGTTCTACAGCTTATCCATGCTTGGTTGGGATCTGGTGACTCAGTTTCCCCACATGTAGTAGACGGAGAATGAGCAAAGAGGTCAGCAAAGAGCCAAAACAGCACACTGAGCCCAAATGGCAGAAAGAGACAAGATCTGTGCCCCAAACCTGGTGTCTTAGCGGGCATGCCTGGGCATCAATGACTTGGGGTTCAGACACAATTTGGAGACTGTGATTAAACGGGATCTGTTCATGCAGGACTTATCAGAGCCTTTATCTGACTGATGCCAGGGTGCAGAGCTGGTGTCTCCCATTCCTGTTTGGTCCTGCAGCTCTCTGACTTGATCTCCTAGTGGGGGACACTCAAAGCGGCTGCTCACCCCAGCTATTGCTTTTTTTTTTTTGGAGACAGGGTGTTCCTGTGTAGCTCAGGCTAGTCTTGAATTTGTGACCTTCCTGATTCAGTCTCCTGAGGGCTGGGATGACAGGGGTGCGCTGCCCTCCCCAGCTTTTTTTTTGGGGGGGGTCCAGTCGTGGGGTCTGAACTCTGGGCCTGGGTGCTGTCCCTCAGCTCTTCAGCTCAAGGCTAGTGCTCTACCCCTTGAACCACAGCGCCACTTCCAGCTTTTTTTTCTTTTTGCTTATGTGGTGCTGAGGAATGGAACCCAGGGCCTCAGGCATGCAAGGCAAGCGCTCTACCACTGAGCCACCTTCCCAGCCCTTCCCCAGCTTCTTTTCAGACAAAGTGTCATTATGTTACTCAGGCTGACCTCAAAACTTGTAGGCTCAAGTGATCCTCTTGTCCCTTCCCTCCCACTGGGTAACGAAGGAGGAAAGCCCTCCATCTCTTTTCTGTCCCCCCCCCCCCAGCACACGCCAAGCCAAGTTCAAGGTCAAGGCTGACCCTGAGACCAGCCTGGCCTCATTTTTAAACTGCTTCTGCTACAGACGTGGTTCCTGGACCAGCTTGAGCAGGAAGCCAGGCCCGAGGCCTGGCACTGGGAGCCATGCAGGGAGGACGCCAGGCTTCAGCCACAGGGCGTGCCACACAGGGCTGAGACAGAAAAGCACAGTGTCGCCCTCACTTTGAGATGAGGAAAACTGAGGCAGAGGAAGGAACACTGGCTGCAACCCTGGCTAGCAAGTCTCACCAGCCTGGCTCTGGGCTGGGCCTCCAGGGAGATCCCAGGAGCAAGGTGCCCCTGTAGTCATCTCGGGGTCCCCAGCCTACCAGGTGCCATGTGCTCCTCTGGCACTGTCCCTCCCCCGGCCCTCCGCTGGCGGGCTGAGCCGCTCGCAGGTCCCGCGCAGCCTCCTTCCACCCCCGGCTGCTCCTGTGCCTGGAATATCCACACACACCCCAAAGCCCAGTATTCGCTGCCACAGCTCCCCGTTCCGTCCTCAGTCAGACCCGGGACTCCACCCCCCACACCCCCCACACGAGGCCGCGCGGTGGCGCTGATGCTGGGGCACTGGCCAGTCAGGATCAATGAGGTGACAAGTCCCACAGGGGATGAGGGGCGGGGGGGGGGTTCCGGCACCAGCATAATCGCCCCCATCTGTGATCCTCCCAGGACGCCGTCTCCCTCCTCCCCAGGGGAGCCAGCACCACCGGGTCCCCATCTCCACAGCGGCGCCACCTCCAGCCCGAGGTCCTCCAGCCCTGCCTGGCCGCCCCGCTCCCGCTCTGACACGGCCTGGGCTGCTGGCAGCTGGTCCCGGATCCCGGACAGCGGGAGCCGTCATGCGCTTCTCGCCCCGGTCCCCCAGAAGGCACTTCGGGCCCCCAATGAGCCCTGCTGGGCACCACGCAGGAGCTCTGCCAGGAAGGAGCCGCCCTCAGCGGCAGGCCACTTTCTCACAGAGGCCCCGCCCCCACCC